AAAAGTTTTTTTTTCCTTATGGGAACCATCTGCCTTCTTCTGCACACCTGTTGATCTGACCTTGAAAAGTTTCCAGACTCCCCCAAGCTCCCGTGGAATGCAGATGTTTCATTTCTCCAAATTGACCCATTGTAGTCAACATTCCCCACCCCTTTACTGTTGTGGCCTGCCGACAGAGAGTCAGACAGTGAGGAGGTTGGGGAGGAACATGGGCTAGTCCTGGGGGGCTGAAGGAAGCTCAGACGAGGGCAGAGAGGGAGCTAGACAGCAGAGAGGCAGAGGAAAAGCTGGAGACTGTTCCCAGTGTGTGCATGCGCAGAACTGCCAGAAGATAAGAACAACTAAGAAAGCAGGGTCGACTTGGGAGTAAAGCCACACCTTGGAGGTGATTGGCCCTCCCATAGGAAACAAAAGAGCAAGCGGGGAGGGGGGCTTTTGCAGGAAGCAATTCGTTCATTTTGGTCTGGAAAGTTCTATTTGTGATTATAAGAGCCTCTATGCCAAGTTTTGCTATGCCCTATGTTTGGAAACTAGTTATCTGGCAGCGCTCCAAATGAGATAAGGTGCGTGTGGATAAACATTCCTCTGAAAGACTGTTTGCCAAGCCTTGCAGACTGTGAATGAAAGAAATTCACAGTCGGGTAAATAAAGTTTTGTTGGGACCAAAACTGTTGCTTTCTAAGGAAGCCTGGCTCATAACACTTACTCTAATGAGAGGTTGAAACGAAGAGGCACATAGCTGTCCATGTTCCTCTTGACACTGGCTTTTGTGAAAAATTAGGGATTTCTAGGTATCTTTCACAAACGCTGCCGGAGTACCGTATTTTTTGGAGTATAAGACGCACCAAGGTTTTGAAGAGGTAAATTAAAAAAAGTGTTTGCACTCTGCAAAACTCCCAAACCGGCCCATTTTTTGCAAAAATGGGCTCATTCCCCCCCCCCCCCAAAAGGCATGAATAGCCTTTAGGGGGCTTGCAGAGTGCTCCTGGGGGTGTCCCCCCCAAAACGAGCAGAAAACGGGCCCCTTTGTTGTCAAAAAAATTGCATGCATAGCCTTTAGGAGGCTTAGAGAGTACTCCTGGGGGCTGGGGTGGGGGCAAAATTGAGCAAAAAAACGCCTGCTTTTCACTCATTTCTGTCCTCCCCAGTCCCCAGGAGCACTCTCAAAGCATCCTAAAGGCTGTGCACGGCCATTTTGGTGAAGGGGGCGGGGTTACAGGAAGCAAAAAATGCTGTATTCAGTGTATTAGACGCATCCAGATTTTCAGCCTCTTTTTTGAGGGGAAAAAGGTGCGTCATATACTCCGAAAAATATGGTAATTTGTAACCTGATGTCAAGTTGCTGAAAAAAAACTTCCGTGTTCCCAACAGAAAACCCTGGAATCCTTTTCTAAGGAGAACAAGGAGCTCCAGGCCCAGGTCACCCAACTCATGGCCGAATTGGACGAGAGGATGCTGCCCAGGGCCCAAGGTGAGTAGGATTCGGGATGGGACGAAGCCCCGGGCCGGGCAGATGCCCAGCTAGAGGTGATCCTTACCATCCTTCCCTTGCGGCTTTTCAGGGGATGGAGTGGAAGCGGCCAAGTTTGTGGACTCGAGGACTTCTCAGCTCAGCATCCCTGAGGACTTTGAGAGCAAAGAAGAAATGGTGAGTGAGCCCCTCCGTTCTCCTCCCTTGCCGTTCTCCTCCTCACTCCGATGCCCTGAATTGCGACCGCAAAGGGCAGTGCAACGGTCACGAGGGCCACTGCGAGTCTCACAAGGGAAGCCAGATTCACTGACCCACCGGGTGGCGGCTGCTGAGATTTGCTTAACATCGGTGGCAAGAAAGGTGGTAAAACGGGGCACAGAAATTCTAGG